TCATCATCATCATCATCATCATCATCATCATCATCATCATCATCATCATCATCATCATCATCATCATCATCATCATCATCATCATCATCATCATCATCATCATCATCATCATCATCATCATCATCATCATCATCATCATCATCATCATCATCATCATCATCATCATCATCATCATCATCATCATCATCATCATCATCATCATCATCATCATCATCATCATCATCATCATCATCATCATCATCATCATCATCATCATCATCATATTTCAACTGAAACTGTGTACACATCGGCCTCATCCATTCCATTGTACTTATAAATATTACCAAATGACTATAATGTCACGTGCGACCTTTTTGTCTGATATTTACAATCAAGACGAATACGATTTGGAGTACACATATATACATACACACACCCACACGCCATACAACGTGAGAGATACCATGTCAAACTGAATAATTAGTGATCATTATTTACAAGGACAATGACTACACGAAGAGGATTCAACATGGAGATTTGGATTCATTTGCATATATCCTTGATGCTTCAATTTTGGATTATTTCTCTGAAGAGAAGTTCACAGTAGACTTCTGTGCAGAACAGCGTTGAAATTATTTGATTTCAAACCCACTGTGACTTACACAAATATAATCTACATCTAATGTCTGTAATTAAATTGTTGGTATTTAGAGACTTATTTTTCACTTGGGTTCCTAGTGTAACATAGGGTTTCAGTAGCACGTCACAATTTCACTCTGTTCTATGCAGTCCTTTGAACCTGACTCTAGGACTACCCACAGGCTTTCAGTTCTTCCTCACACCATCTCTTCTATGTCACCCTCATCTCGGATACCCAATTTGTTGTTTCTCATTCGCTTTCCACTTGGCGGCCTGTTCTGGTGCGTAATGTACTCAAACGGTCTTCTCAATGTATGTCCAATCTGTCTCTTCTTTCTTCTGCCTACACGTTTTGTTGGTTCGTTCAAAGCCAGCCACAGTGAGTTCCTTGTTGCTTATTTCTATTATTTTGACCATCTTATCGATCTTCAGTATCAAGTAAGCGTGGGCAGCAACTGGTGATGAATGTCTGTGGTTTGTGGGAAATGCTTATCGTAACGCGCTGTCAAGTCTCTCAACCATCACATAGAAGCACTGACTGACTTGACTGAGATAAGTGTTGAAAATCTGGATTGCGCTGAGTGCAGTAGCTCTCCATACTGATTTGAAGGCTTATCTTCCTTTTTTGATCCTGCCTTTGTTGTCCTCATCTGTGCCTGTGCCGCCCGTAGTTGACACGACGCCGCCTAAGTAGATATATGAAACAGACAACTTCGTTTAGATTTCTCCTGTTGATGGTGATTGGTGCTTGTTGCTATTGGCCCCGTCTTCCTTCGCTGGATCACTTCTTCTGTCAACTTGTTAGTTTTCGCCTGTAGATCTCCGAGTTTGTGCGACATAAGATACTAGACATAAATCATCATTGACGAAATCCAAATCTTATTCCGGTGTCTTTTCATCGGTCCAACCAGTGTATGTCCCTCTTTTCCCTCCTCTCAGTTGTACGTTGTATGATTCACTACAGTCCAGTCCAGTCCAATACAGTCAACCACAATCAGAAAGATCATGGGTGATAGTAGGCGACAACACTGTCTTACTCCTTCCTTCCTTCTTGTCCTCACTTCAAAGGCATCACTGAGCTTTCCGTTGTCAATCACTTGGTATGTAGCCTCCTCATATAGCATAGTATATAGCTGTTGAATGAAGTGGATAAATGTTTGTGTCAGTGAAACTGTAGTGTTGAAGCAGTTTACAAATTACTTCTTGGTCGAGGTTGTGAGGCTTTTTTTTACCATGGATTCATAATATTCAGAGAATCTATCAACACTCGTGAAGGTTGTATAGGGATTTGAATTTCAATCGCCTTCCTGAACAGTAATGCACTGACTACGGGACTTGATAGTCTTGGGCTATATACTTCATGAAGTCATGATTACATGTTGTCGATGAATCGTTTAGTGGAATGTAGTAGACTCATTTGTGAAAATAAAAAGTACGCCGATAGATTTTAGCCTCTAATAATATTATATTTGTATCAAGAAACTGTTATTTTCCTTTTTTTTTCCCATTACAGTTATGCTATACACATTTTTAATCATTAACTACTTTTGTAATATTATGATTATTTCCGAAAAGGTATACTTCTATAGCCGAACATTAGTACTTCCAAATACACAGGCGTATGTTTACATTACTGTAAAGTGCATAAAAGTATTTGCTAATTAATCAACTATTTATTATCCAGTACTTTCATTCTCTTGCTTCATCATATAAAGAAAAAAATAAACGAAAGAAGGATAGTAAGAAAAAGAAACGCTATATTTTTCTATCTTTTCAACCCTTTTAACTGAATATATTTTAAATGGCTTCGATAACCTTTCGATAAATAACCCACAGAAATTATCTTAATTAGCATTAGTGTTGTATTGATGCTTTTATGTTGAAACTGATACTTACTTTATTTGTTTTTCTATTGTTGGTAAAAGGAATTACATTTTAAAATTAGTGTACTTTAATGGGTTACATTCTTTCCATGTGACACTATTATTTTTATAACCTTTAACAAAATATAAGTGAATTGTATATAGAGGTTTATGGAAGTCATTATGGACTGATATCAGTTGTAGAAAGATTGGAAACCTGTGGACATTGGACATCTGTTTCGTCCCACTGGTATAGGACTTCATGACCCCTCCGTGTTAGAGATTGAACTCACGACCTTAAGTTTCCGTGACCGGCGTGTTACCATTGAGCCATTGGATTAGTCCATATTGCCTACCTCTGTCAGTTCAAGATATAGCGCGATCTCTATACCTTGTCGGCCTTGAAAAACTGTCCTTATATTCTCCCTGGTTCGCCCGATCGGTCATAACTTCTTACTGGAACTTCAGGAATTACCTCCAGAAGCTAGTCACCAATAAGCGCTAGATTAATTCTATCAAGAGGTTTTGTAGAGGTTTATTAGTTGGTTTCAAGTTGGAACTGATCATGGATTGACAGTCGTTATAGTGGCAATTATCTGAATTGTATCATCTTTGTTCAGCAACTTGACAAAGCACAGTCGCTGACTTACAAGAACGCATATCAGGTCATCATATATAATTCTGGATATTATAAATCCCCTTTTACTAAAATTTTAACCTCACCTGGTTAACTAGTTCACTAGTTACTAACCGGTCCTCAGCCCCGGTAAAGATGGAAGGCTGGGCGTAGCGTTAGTAATAGTACCCCGGAAAACCAATCCAATCACCAAAGAAACTTCAAAGCACAAGAACATTCTAAAAAATAAAAACAAACTTATTCCTCGCTGGAATTGGAGGGACGAAATGACACCAGTTGGTGAAAGCCTGCCTTCGGGAAGCCAGTCGGCAGATGTGTCTCCCCCATTCTCTATGGAAGTGAAAGTAGGGATGGGGACATGGAACGTCCGCACCATGTATGAACGTGGCTGGCAAGGCTGCCCATATTGCAAAGGAGATGAGAAGGTATAGCATAGAAGTGCAAGGAATCTGTGAAAGCAGATGGAATGGAAGTGGACTGTCCAAGCTCTTAACTGGAGAGTCAATACTCTACTCCGATATTGTTACCCAGACGACAACCACGAGCACACTGAGTTTTGGAGTGGCTATCATCATGTCTCCAACAACATTGGAGGCTCTCATGAAGTGGGAACCAGCGTCCTCCAGGATCAGTACCATGACAGCAAGATTCAAATCAAAAGGGAGGAAGGTCACAATCATTCGGTGCTACGCTATGCACCTACAAATAATGCAGATGAAGAGAAGAAGGAGGAATTCTACAGACAACTCCAATCAGTAATGGACAAGACAACACTCCAGTTGGCGACATCAAAATTCTAATGGGTGGGGGTGAAATGAATGCCAAACTGGGAGGAGTGGACATCACAGAAAGAGAACTGATCATGGGTCAAGAAGCACTCGGTGAAATGATGAATGAGAATGGAGAACTGTTTGCAGACTGCTGCTCATTCAACGATTTGGTGATTCGAGGCACTCTGTACAAACTCAAGGATATCCACAAAGTGACATGGATTTCACCAGACACCAGATGGACACACTAAAAATCAAATCTACTTCATCTGAATGTGAAGAAAGTGGAGACTCAGCCTACTGGACACAAGAGCAGGTGAAGAAGGGGAGCAGATGTAGGTTGACGCCACTCACTATCAAGTGCCAGCTATCTTCAAAATCAAGTTGAAAGCCCTTAATTCAAGGAAGTTGATGATAGACCACAGATGAAGTTGAGCACCCAGAACAGAAACTGAACTGAAGGATAAGACTACTACAAATGACATCTTCACGTCAGTAAGCCATCAAGTCAAAATGGGAGATATAGAGCAATATCCCTGAAGAAACATGTGTGGATGAACATTGGGAGTGTTTGAAAGCTATGTGGAAAGAAACCTGCATAACCGTATTAGGATGGAAGAGGAAGTGGCAAGACAAGGAATGGATCTCGACGGACACATGGAAGCTGATAGAGCAGAGAGAGGAAGACGGTGAAGCAGAAGACGCACCAGTGCAGTGCAGGGATGAACAACGAGAGGAAGAAGTGAGCGAAATGTACAAAACAATACACTGAAGAAAGAAATGAAGAAGAGGGCTCGCGAAGACAAGAGACAATTTCAAGACACACTGGCAAGTGAAGCAGAACATATTGCAAGTAGGAGAGACAGGCAGACAGACAGACAGACAGACAGACGGACAGACAGATAGATAGATAGACGGCGCTGACAACATTATATCAAATAACTAGGTTACTATTTGGGAGGGAAGAGATCAACGCAGATGAAGCCAATGAAAGATTGCGAAGGGGAACCATTTGCGAAGTTGGCGAGCAGAAAGAAAGGAAACGATTGGTTGACCACTTTAAAAAACTCTTGAATAGACCGCCATCACCACCTGCAACTCGACCACAAATACCACCGGCAACGCAGAACTGCCAGTGAACACAAGACCCTGGATGGAAGTCGAAGTCGTGAATGCCGTAAAACTGGTGAAATTTGGTAAAGCAGCAGGATCAGATGGAATCCCGCCAGAGGCGCTGAAAACAGAGGCATAACCAACAGCGGACATGCTCACGTCGCTACAGCAGAAGGTTTGGAAGGAAGGAAAAGTACGTGACTGTTGACTGGAAGAAGGGCTACCTTGTCAAATTTCCCGAATAAGTGAGACCTAAGCCTCTGCAAGAGGTGGTACGGAATCATGCTGCCGTTTACCCCAAGCAA